CCTTTATTCCGTGATTTGACTGCCGTGCCACAAAGAGGGCATAGGCAAAGCGCCACGGCCACCTGCGCTCCACATCAGGCCCATTTGAATACATTAGCTAGATAACGGGAACGCAGATTACTGCTGACCCCACGGTTTACTTCACTGGGCTTTTTTTTTTTAAGGTGTAGTGAAACACATACTACAGCAACTCAGTGACACATTGAATAGAATAAGGAGGCTCTGTTCTCTACTGAAGTCTGAATTAAAAAAAACGGATCTTTGTAAAAGCTCTCGCCTCTGCGCTGGTCCCGTGACCAATGAATTTCCTCTTCCCCTTTCAACTCTTCCATGAATGCCCGTCGTCTACCAGGGAAGAAAATCACCATAAGAAGAAAATAACCCAATGTAGACCTCACTCACGGATGCAACATTAACCACAAGGAAACTACCAAAGACCGAGACGGCTGGATGCAAAAGACAGGAAGTAAACAAAGTGCCCCGAATCAGGATGTCGTGACAGATATAAAACTGCCATTTAAAAGTGGCAAAATGAATGGTATATGAATATATATACAGTATATATATAAAAAATATATATATATATTTTTTGACATCCTAAACCAACAACATTCACACATCCAATCTGTCGGTTTCTCTCTTTACAGTCTGAATTCTTTGAGCCGCTGTTAGAGGCGATCATTACTTAATAAAAACACAGAGAGTCAATATTTCTGAATAGAAACTGTGCGAAGGATTCAGCACCCGGGGATCCACAGCTTAATTCAAACCTTTTATCGATTCACTGTTGCCTCTTTAGAACTGCATTTAGTTTGTAATAATGGATCTGTTGGCTTAAATTACACTGTATTCTGGCATTATGCGGAGGTATTAAGTGGTGTTAAAGCCACAGCTCGATCAGCGAGATGATTGTACCGCAGTTACAAAACAGCACGGAATACAACACGTGTGTATGTGTGTGTGTGTGTGTGTGTGTGTGTAAAAGCGTAACTGTAAGTGTACAGATTGTAGAAGCACTGCTGCGACTGAGAGCTCACGATGTGTTCAGGGGGCCGAGGCCAGCATCCACCTCGCTCCAAATTCCCATAAGACCCACTAAGTAACAGGCCCAACAAAATAAAAGACACAGTATCATCCCCCTCCCTCACAGAGCGTGCGTTGCAATTGCAGATGCAGATGTGTTGATAATTGATAAACCCCCTCGTTGAGACATGCACCGACAGCCAGAAGCAGAAGAGCTGCAGATAACGGGGGCTGCAACATTCTCTCCCGAGCTCTGGAACCAGCCAGCGCTAAAAGCTCCCAGAATCCCCCGTGGAGCCGATTCGTGCGTGGGCCCCTGGCTCAGAACTCACTTCTGCCCCCGGAGCAGAAACCAATCCGAACCCCTGGTAGATCGCAGCACTCTGAGAAACACTTCCACAGCGCGGATCCCTCTTTTGGGGGAAGAGCGGCGCTCCATGTGAACCATGTGGGCATGGCGGCGTTTACCACATGCGTAGGTGATTTGTTCTTGCAGAGTTATTCTTCCCGGCTACAATGTTGTTTTCAATGCAAATACATGTTTATGCATCCTTGGGATGGACACGCGATGAAAGGTGGGATGGGGATGTTTTATATGCGACACACATCTGCCCAGGAGAGAGAGAGAAAACAGCAGCTGATAACTTCCTCGCCAAGTCCGTCGGTTCTTCCGGTGCTGCGTTGCACTCGCTGACATTTCGCTTCAGCCTCCCGCCGCTGATTAGCAGGAAAGTGGGCTCAACAGCGTTGGTCTCTCAAGAGCTGGCAGGAAAAAGCCCTCTGAGGTCTGTCCAACTAGGAAGACTTTAATGGGGCCTCCTGGTGAGGCAGCAGGCTCGTGATTGCAACACTATCCGCCGGTGTACAACAATACAGATACATGTTTGTACCGAGTGTGGCTGCTGGCTGCCTCCCAACATTCCCTGTAGTTTCTCTTCCGTGCGTATCCAAGGAAGAAGGGGACAACTTCATTGTCTAATTAGAAATCTGACAAAAGGCCAGTTTTATAAGAATGCGTTTACATTTTCCATACATCTTTGTTTTTGCCTGAATTAGAAATGTGAATTTTGACCGGATGTGCCTCAGTAACACAGCAACCAGAATGTGTGACATATTTGACTCAGGGCCTCTAAGCCTAACAAATGCTCACAGAAATGCAGTATCTCTGTGTACAAAAGATAAACTTCCCCAGTGACGCAAACCTATATTCATGATAAAATATATCAGGGACTCTGTGTGCAAACGGTCTGCTCAAAATCTCCGGCGAGACATGGTGACATTTACTGTTTTTTTTATAGGCCAAAAAAAAAAAAAACTTGCAAGGAACCTCAAATGTTGAACAGAACGTGGCGGCTCACAGGCATCGATACTGCGCTCAAGCAGCGCACAAAATCTAACCGGAGGGACATTCTTCTCCCTTAAGGGACACTTAATTGACAAGAGTAGAAATGTTGTTTAGTGGGTGCAATTACCTAAAGGGCCACTTTATCATGGGTGTGAGTGACGGAGATGAAGAAACCCAACTAACTATTCTAGCAGGGACACGGCCCTTCACAGTATTCAGAACTGGGCGTTTGGATCAGCTGCCGCGACAGCGCCGAGTCCGGCTCGATTCACTGCAGAGGATTCAAGCAGCAACGACTCCACGTGTGGCTTTGTGCGCTGTAAATTAGATGCACAGGTTGGTTGGAAATCTTTAAGTTGCTAGCGGACATTTTATGATGATTAAATGCTTCTTTGCACAGTCGCCCAACATCGTCAAGCCTCCACTATCCAACGTCCGCCTGATGAATGAACGTACACAGTTGTGAATCGCACTTTTAACGCAACTCGAATGAGCCTTGATAGAAATTTTGCAACCTTTCGACACTTTAATTCACAGCAAATCTTGAGAGTATCTCTGGACAATTATACAACTAGCAACTTTAACTAACACTCCTTTTATGTGTTTTGGCATTTGATAGAAGAAACAATAACTAGAAAAAACAACTAGGTTAACCGATAGCCAAGCAGAATGATTATTTTGACAATTAGATTATATATGAAAGGGCAGCGACCCAACAAACTACAAATTCTGGGTTTGTTTCATTTCCTAGACACTCACATGGCCTCACTTCAGTAGTTTGAGTCATAAGAAAGTATTAAATCCCTCAACTCTTTAACAGGGGATGAGGGCGTGAGGGAAAACGGCACTTAACCTGCGCAGCTCCACCTTTGTTTTAACGGATTAAACCCAAGAGAGACTATATTTATGCTCCCTGCAATCCAATCCAGGGAAAGTTGCTTATCATGGAGCGTCCCTTTGACCTCCTGAGCAACCACAAATATACACACAGCAATCAGCCTAATGGAAAAGTAAAAAGGGGTCGCTCTGGTTGACTGGAGCAAAGCAAACACAGTGAGACCGATAGGACAAGACATGAGACAGGTGGAACACACAAAGAGCGTTCACACACATCAACCCAGATCTAGAGAGGTAATAAAGGGAGTGTACTGTGCACACAACCACCCACGCCGAACACACACACACAAAGCAGGATACACTGGCCTATAGAACAGGCAGACACACACAGTAAGCACAAGCTGGATCTTACACTTACAAAGAAGTGACTATGACCAGTCTCCACACACACACACACACACACACACACACACACACACACACACACACACACACACACACACAAACAAAGGTGTACTAATGAAAGACGTTGTTGTAAACCAACTAAATCAAATACAGTCAAATAAGTATGTGTATATAAAGAAACTGATGAATGCTGTGTTTGGGCTTAAAGCGGCGATTTTCCTAAATAATGCAATCCAAAACACAAGCCCGTCAACTTTTTTGTTTTAGAGAGATGCTGATTCAACTTAATGGTGACGATGCAGATGGAGTTGGTGGTGCTGTTCAACTGTACAGACTTGTAAATGTTACTAATAGGGCTGCACATAACAATAACTTGCATCGCCGGTTATTCCACCTGGTAATAGGATTGATCGTTACGTAGTATAAAAAGGTAACGTGTTCATGTCTGGGTTTTTTTACAAGCACAAATATTTTCAGTTAAATACAATTTCAAGAAAACATCGACTGTGGCATCTTTTGCTTGAGAAATGACTAAATATCCTATTTTCTGTCAATCAACTCATGAATTGTTCCAGCTTTAACATTTAAGTCAATACTTATATAAGAGGGGTAGATGACATATCAGAAAACATAATGTTGTATCTAAAATAAAAAAAAAACAGCTTGGAAAACAGCTACACGTCAACAGCGGCATTCATTCAAACTTTGCATCCCAACAAATCTGGCATCTGAGAGTTCAGCGAAACATAGCAGCCCATCCACCAACAGGACAATCTGGAGGCAACAGCCGGGGGGTTAAACGGCACCTCGCCTCTTAAGAGCAGCCACATCGCGACGGCGCGGTGCGCATCTGTGACTTAACTCTAATCTGCACACTTCCTGATCGCTGCTCGTTTCAGGGAGCAGCAGCTTGTGCTGACGTGCTCTCCCCCCTCCGGCCCTGCGAGCGGACCCAATAGTAAAAACAAGGAAAACAAATCACCCTGCACGCTTCACCTTTGTCCCGCTGTCACACTAACCGGGCGACGTTAAATACGTAAAAATAAAGGATATATTCAAAAGTGGTTTGACAGGCTGACGCGCTGCTCTCCCACGCACAGCGGGGGGTCGTTGCACGCCGACCGGGCTGCGGTCATCTCCACCCGATCGATGCCGGCTCACTGATACTAGCAGGCCCCCTTTTTTTAAATCACATTCCCCACAGCATCGGTGCAGCTGCAGAGACCGAGCACCACCACCGCCACCACCCCCACCCCGAAAAAGAGACACGGCGGCGCCGAGCCACACCGCTCCATCTTCGCTTTGTCCGGAGCGGCGAAAGAAAAAGATCCGCACGGCGACCGAGGAACGCAGGCGGGGAGACGGGGGGAGAGGGGAGGGGGCATCCTACCTTTCGGCTTAACGCTGTCCCCGAGTAGAAGTAGTAGGCTATCCCCAGCACCCAAAGCACCGCAAAGCATAACAATATCCTGGATTTCCTCCGCATGGCTGCCCGGTTGTTGTTCCGCCCGTGTGCTTTTGCGGCTCGTCCTCTCGTCGGCTCCCCGGCGCTGGAGCGGCTCCTTCCCGGTCGGCTGCGTGTCCGTGCGGGGGCGCTTCGCCGAGCGGCTTCGGCGGGGCGAGCTTTCGTCAGTCGGTCGGTCGGTCCGTCAGGGGGAGAGCGGAGGGAGCAGGAAGCACCCAGCCAACATCGGCGGGGTTAGAGGGCAAAGGCTAGCCGACTCGGATCCAATCAAACGCCGGCTCGGGCAGCCCGGGAGGAGGGCCGGGGGTGCTGGCAGCGAGTCGAGCCGTGCCGTGCGGTTCCCTGCTAACGCCGGGTGGAGGGGGTAGGGTAGAGTAGGGCGGGGGACAGTCACTGTATGGAGCGATTTGTTGAAAAAGAAAAATCTCAGTGATGTGGCTGCGGGAGCAGAGCGAGCGAGCGAGCAGGCGAGGATCTGTGATCGTCATCACGCATCGAGCGGCTGTCCGCGGCGCCGCCGCGAGGAGACGCTGGGGGCGCCAGAGACACGCCAGACACCGATAAATGAGGAAAACAAGAGTTCCGTCTGCTGGTTCTTTCTTTTTATCTCTCGTTTTTTCCTGGTGCTTAATTTCACCCCCCCCCATCCTTGCCTTCTTCCTTCCTTTTCTCAACCATTTCAGTGTTTCTCCTTATCTCTGTTCCTTCCTTCCTACCGCATTCCTTTTTTCCTTCCGCCCTTCCCTTCCTTTAATACTACCTTTCCTCCTCTGTTCTACTCTTCCTCCATTCCTTTCTTTTTACATTCCTGCATCCTACCTCTGGTCTATCCTTTCCTTCCTTATTCCCTGCCTGTTCTGTCCTTCCTTCTGACAGTTGTTCCCTCCTTTCCTTCATCTTCTCTGGTTCTGAACCAAAGTTCAACCAAAGATAACAAAGAAGGGATGGAGGACTATTAGTTCCACCTCCTTTACTGTTCTTTCCTCCACTTCTTCCTTCCTTCCCTCAATTCCTCCTTCTGTATCTTTTTTAATTGACCAATAGACAAAACTACTTGCAAAATCATTCAAATTACTAGTAAAAATAAATCAATAATGACATTTGACTGAGTTGGAAGCCCCGAGTACAACATGACGACAATCTGCATCTCAGCAGCTGCCGGACCTTTTTATAGTGGTAATAATACTGCAGTTAATAAGTAAATGAAGAAGATAGGGCTTTGATTTTCTTTAAAGCACTATACTTTACTAAATATGGAACAATCAAAGCCAAATAATTCAGAGAACTTGTAAAACTGCTCGACAGCTATTTGTGTGGAACTGTCACCGTTAACCTGAACAAGCATTTCTGTAGCTTTGTATTACTTGTGCTAAAGTAAAAAAAATTGAAATACCTCTATATCTCATATGAAGCAGATAAAAAAACAACATATTTTAGAAGCTATTGAAGCAGCAGAGCGGCCTTCAGAAAACGCAGTCAGGTACAAAGAAAAAGATTTTGGTGAAATAAATAATTATTGTGAACATTTTGGAGCGAGTCGTCCCGTTTGTGTTGAAACCACTCGATTCTCACGTAGTCGGTGGCACAGACTGATGGAGCTGTGCTGGAACACTGTCGACTAAAACAAAAGGTCTCCTTCATGTTCAGCGATCTTTAATCTGCCTCTGACATTTTACATTTGAGTAGTGACAAAATGTCATTTTTGACCGGAGAGCAAAATGGCCCACAGTTTAAAAAAAAAAAACTAAGATTCTATCAATACCCGCTTTGTGCTGTGCCTCCAGAGTGTCCCAGTAAGTAGTCTTACACACACACACACACACACTTTAATTCATTGCTGCTACGGTGGTCTGAAGAGAGACTCGGTGTGTTTATGTTACCCACAGTAGTGTTACCGCATGGATGGATGCAAGTCAAACCAATGTCAGAGCGGCGAAACAGATGTGCACATTTAGCAGCACGGTGCTAAGAGCTTTTGTATCTTTTTGCCCTTTGCCTCAGTTACGAGGGTCCCAAATTTCCCCCGAAGAACCGTTTGGCTTTCTGCTCTCCCGGCAATAGAAGAGGCCACAGGTTTGTCCCTTTGCTGTGAGCTTGTGGGTAATTATGATCAAAATGTAGTGGCTGTAATTAGTTATACTGAATAAAGATTGACACGTATGCAACTCATAACCAACCATTACTGTGTAGAAGTATAATCCTGAACAGTTAATTATCGGTCTTTTGGATTAAAACATAAATCTAGTCATTTAAATCTCAATAATCCTTGAAATTTAGTCAAACTATGACAAACGTTTCAACATCTAGCCCAGAAGTGCAAATGAGACTTTTCATTTATCAAATTTTAGCAGAACGACAACTAATGAGGCAAATTATCTTTATTCATTATCATACAAAAGACTCAAGTTAAGTCCAGCGACAGGGGCGGTCACATGGTCACATGTCACAGATCTTTGAACATTGTTCTATACTATTTAGTTAAGGACCAGGACACTGATGTGTTGCATAACCCGATGACCAAACCTTAGACTTCAGTTTTTAGAGGAGCCAATAGACAAGTGAGAACAGAAGGTCACGCTTCTAAGAGTCGCTGCAGGAGCTCGTGTGTTAAAGCCATTTCTGTGTGAACGGTTGACTAGATTTATCAATCCTATACAATGACGTTCTTTGGAGAAACAAGGTTACATAAAGTCTTTCCAATATAACTTTGATGCACTAGTTCAGTAAAATGATCATTTTTGATGTCTTAAATAACTCATCTCATCAGCTTTATGCATTCAAATAGTCCAATAAGTGAGGGTATAAACCTTGTTTTACTTTAGGGATGCTGCCGTGTTGTATGTCTGTTTACTGATTGTGTTCATGTGCAGAATTCAAAGCAACAAAAGGGATGTACAATTTTGACCGGTGACGACTGTATTTAACCACCACATTCTATCCACAAGCCGACAGTCTCAATTCAAAATATCCCAAAGCTTCCTCTCATTGAAAAGCAGAAACTGAACACAGAGTCTTTCCATATCAAGAACATTTATTCTAATTGAATCCAATGGAAATCTGAACATTGCAACAGCTCAAACAGTGTACTTGTCCTCTCCTTGCCTCTGTGCTTTGTGGTAGTGGGTGTAGCTGCTGTACAGCTCATTAAACACCTCTCTGACTCCCATCTGCAGGCCGGCCGTCAGGAACTTGATATCCTGCTCCTTGCACAGGTCCAGTATCCGATAGATGCCCTCCGTTAGATGCAGCTTCACGTCCGGTCGCAGAGTAACCTGACGAGGCCAACAAGCACAAGGAGGGACGAAGTTTAAATGATGAGGTCAAACAACGTTCGTATCCATTTCCTGACTAATATCTTTGTTTCATAATTCCCTCACAGAGTAAATCTGTAAAGCAGTGTGTGGGTATTCATCCCCGTTACTTTATACTCCAAGTCTTACACATGGTTGCTTGTACAGTTGGCCGGACCACCGTCCTCAGATCTTCAACATACATCGTGACTTTGTTTCATTGCCCCCCCCCTTTTCTTGTATAACGGGTCTGTTGAGGCAGACAAGTTTGAGTTTTTTTGGTCAATAAAAATATAAGTTGTGTCGCCCCTCATCTCTGATTGAAGCCGGCAGCTCGGGGCAGAAGAAAGGCACGGAATAAGAGTTACAATCTCCAATTCTGGTGCATTGACTCTAAACGCTTTTTCTTGAAAAGTCTGACGATGTTGTGAGAGTGCAAAGCTCAAACACAAGAGCACTTTTTTATTATGGTTTTCAATAAAACAGCAGGTCACTTGAGGCAAATCCCTTAATTCACAAACTGCATAAAAATGTTTTATGCTCCACTTCGCTGTAATAACACCTGGAGGCTGCACAGGCGGCTCAGTTCAGGTTAAGAGCCACGAGAAGAAGCTCCTACACAGAGACAAATAAATGACCTCAGACACACAAAGAGGTCCAAATCTTAGGAGTTCCAGTTAAGTATCATTAGATGATTCACACAGAGCATGAAAAGGATCCCAAACACCTCCTTCCTCACAGTGTCTGCCTGTCTCTCTGTGCGTCTTCCCGTCTGTCTGGACGGGCACTTTCATGTGTTCCTCTTAAAGGTGGAAACTGCTGAGTCGGGTTGGCGTCACGTTAAATACCGTCTGGTAGCCGAGAGGAGCCACGTTCGCCAACCAGACGTGACTCACTGCTCTGCGGGTTCCTCTCACCTAAAGCACATGAAGTTACAGTAACCCTGGACCCGTTCACTCACATTTGTGGAAATTCTCGAGTCACTCCGCCCGGCTGATTCTTGCCAGCACGAAAATAATAACTGTGCTGGATCAAAGGATCAGCTGAGATCCTGCAGCCTCATGCATGTATGTATGTATGCATGTATGCATGTATGTGTCACTAACAGCTGTGGAAAATCAGCAGGGGCGACAGAAGGGTTTTGGATGAGGAACCACGTTGACTGTCTCTCTGGGAGTGTGTGTGTGTACCTTCTGCAGCTCTGTGACATACTGAGCCACCATGAAGGCCGACAGTGTGGTGAAGCTCTCCGCTGTAGCAGCAATGTGAGAGTACATCCTCTCTATCAACCTGGAGCACTGGAGATAAACGTCACCATCTGGACGTTCAAGAAAACAGAGATTGAGGTTAACTTTTTCTCATTTGAGAACAATTTCTTCTTTGTTTAAATCAATTTAGATACCTTCCCCTCCCACGTATCCAAGAGGCCAACGTATCAAATTAACAATGAAGTCATGAAGCATTGAGGTTATTAGAGGAGCACAGAATAGACTTTTCAGGCTTTTTAAAAGAGCAGACTGAATGGCTTACAACAATTTTTGTGTAGACGAAGTAGAGATTTTTGTAACAGATTTAGACTCCAAAGCCCGTGAATAAATGTGTCTAGTTTATTCAACATTTATTCACCCCAATTAACTTATGGTACAGATTATAAATCTATAATTAGTCCAAGTGTCACCTGTGTCAGCGTCTCCTCTCTGCCGACCCTCCTGCATGATGGACGCCACCAGACGATAGAAGATGTTTAAGAATGACGGGGCTGCGGTCAACATCACCTAAAAACAACACAGCACACGTACAATATAACGTAAAACATTTGGAGTACAATTGTTTAGAATGAACCACTAATGTGCTAAAGAGTTGTTCGTTTTCTTCTCCCTTTAAATGCTGAAAAAATACTCGCAGCCGAGAAGTTGGGCAGGTTGAGTCACAATCGGAACCCGTTTTCCTCCTCCCGGTTTCCAGCCTGCCATTTCAAACTTTGTTCATGTTTAAGGAAACGTAAAACACATGCAGTGATGGATACATCCTTTGTGCGGAAGACCTGCCGAACATTTCTACCTAATGTTATGCCATCACCTAGAAAAACCCTTTGCAACATCATCAAATGGCATCGTTTTTCACTGCTTGAGTCATAAACATACAGCCCAATTAATGACCGATGTTGGATTCCCGCTTGCATATTTGTCCACACCTTTCTCTGTTCTCCATTCAAGGCCTACAGCGGGGAAATGA